CATTACATCTTTTGTTCAGTAGGTCATAAGCTACAACATATGTAAAAACCAATTGATTTGACCGGGACAGATTTTCCATATGATTAGTGCGGGGTTCTTTATAATGATTTATAATAATTATAATAATTTTTATAATTTGTGATCGAGTTCGAGCGGAGAGCGATAAGACCTCTCTTACAATTACCGCATTCGATAACGTCACGCGATATGGCTCGGCTCACGCCAATCGGTAAAACTAAGTAGATTATCACCAGGAATCTATCACTCCCTTGAAAATTAACGCCACTGCCGCCCAATCACAGCCTGCCACTCAGCTGACAACAACTCTCGGCGCGCAATAACAAAACGGCAACAAAACCCGCAATTGTTAATACCCTTCTAGGAAGATCTCCATATAAACAAGATGACAAAGCCTCACGCAAAATTTGTCGCCGGAAGTTTTGTCAATCTCCAGAAAACTCGGGATCTTTCTAGAAGGGCACGCTTCAATAAATGGACTGCGCGGAAGGAGCAAGGCGTACTTCGCAGCAAGTCTCGAAAGTACACGCATCATTTAGCAGCAATTAGCAGTTTCAAAAGAGATAGACAATTTTTAGTAAGATCGCTCCTTTTGCGTCTCCGTAGCTTACGGACCGCAAAACGAATCTTGTTAATAATTCTCGCTTGTTAGAGATCCGTTGCTCGCGGAATTCATTCTGAAAGCAAGAAAATTGTAAATATTGTACACAATTATTTTGAATTAAATGTTATGTTGTTAAGTAAATCGCTCTCATCTCACCGCATTCGTTCCGTCTTTATTCTTTCATGTCCGTTTCTCGACGCTTCTCGCGCGTCCTCTCATTCTTAAACAATGATACATAATCTATTATAGATATAGATATAAATGAGATATGCAAGTTAAGTATATTTTTCTATTTACAGAGCACACAATTTGCTTGGTCAGTTTATAGCGCATCGTGGATTGGTAAATCACAAAAAATGAAGAATAATATTTTCATGATGCTACAAAAAAGCCGGAAACCACTTCTGATATCTATGAATGGCTTATTACCCGCTCTCACTTTAGAATATTATGCGAGTGTGAGAAATATATTTTTCAGTATTTCTCATTTTTTTATTTTTAATGTATAACATTTCTCAAAAAGTTTATACTGTGTTTGCAGTTTCTAACATCGGTTTTATCATATTTTATGACAATGAGAGCAGCGATTATGACACACAAATAAGCTATAATAGATATAGCTTATTTATACTGTATAATATCGTAAGTTACGTTGATTGCAACTGATATCTATGTGCATACAAAAAGCTAAAATTGTAAAACAGATATTAATATAAAAATAAAAATATCCATCTAAATTTAAACTGCACTTATTGAAATAGAATGTATATACATATACATATAAATATAACTTTATTTATAAAATATATTGCATTTAGTAACATATTTTTTAGATCCTTTATAATATATCCTTACTATTTTCTTAATATATTGGGACTTCTGAGAAATAATATGTTCTTGTATGTGTGTGACATTTTTCTTATTTTCACTCTTATTCCAATGGCATATGTGCAGAATGAAAATAGAGTGAATCCTAATTGCGTATATTACTAATCGGATATAGTCCCGATCAGATACAGTCTCAATCAGACACAGTTTCGATCAGACACAGACTCGATCGGACACAGACGCGATCGGATATAAGAACATGGCTTCTATCAAAAATATGAAGTGAATTTCTCTTCAGTGGAAATTATAAACCCATGTGTAATTATATTGTGAAAAACTGTTATATGTATTTATAAAGCAGTATTACTTTAATTTAATCTGCACAAAATAATGTTATCATAAATTATTAAAAATAAAAACTTATAAAAATATTTTAACAAAAAAAGTTGTACAAATATATTCTACAATTATCATGATATAAAAAATTATGCCATATTATATAAAATTTTTTTATTTTATTATTTTCAATATTAAAAAAAATTATATTTAATAAATCGTAATATAATTAAAGTAGTAGGGCACATAGCTAAAATAGAGTTATTTTGTAATTAACTAAATGCACAATATGTACACATCTAACGCTTTGAAATATATTTATTGAAAGAAAATTTCTCATAAACTCTAAGTCGTATAAAACAAACTTATACCAAAGTAAAGTATAAAAAAAGTTTGCGACGACCCATGGTCAAGAGGCAAGTGTCGCAACTTAATGGGATAAAAAGCATGCGATAGTACAGAGTCTCCCCTTCAAAATGTTTTTCTACTCGTCTCAATAGGATGATTTTTTGCTGAGATATGCGAATTTAAAGTAAAAAACTACCTTTTTATTCAAATGCGCATATCTCAGCGAAAAATCATCGTATGGAGACGAGTAAAAAAGCATTTTGAAGAGGAGACACTATACTATCACATGCTTTTTATCTCACTAAATTGCGATACTTAACTCTTGCCATGGGTCGTCGCAAATTCGGACGAAAATTTTTCAATTTCGCATGCTCTCGCTTTGTCATCCGCCATTTTGAAAAAAATTATCTCGCAAAACTCTAATAAATTGATTCTTAAAGTAGAGATTTCAAACTTCAATTTCTTTTTTTTAAGACCTTTCTATCATTATTACTCGCGTAGTTATCGTCATTCGAAATTTAGTGATCTTTTGCCAAATTTTAGGTGTATCGCTTTTTTTGGACTGAGTGTATATGTATATACATTTGCAAAACGTTCAAAGAGCGCGCGTGGTACCTTTCGCGTGCCTAGCGCGAGCGTAGGGAGCGCTAGAAATCACGTATAATAGTTCAAGCGAGTACCGCGCGACACTTCCTTCGAGCCGAAAAGACACGCTCTAGTCAGACTCGCACCGGTATTTTTTAACTAGTAAGCTTTAGAATAAATCAGCATACAAAGAGGATCTGGAAATTCTTTACTCGCGACCAGCCTTTACAACAGAGAAATGGCGATGAGGATGGGATGATCGCATTATTGTGGCTGGCGAAGAACACGTGCAAGGATTAGAACAGCGACCGGAAAGCCGCCATTACGTGCACACGTGGCGTTCGCTACATCGAGAGATTGTTCGAGAATCTTCGAGTCGGTACACAGAATACAGAATTACGTTTTCCTCATGGCAGCGGTTCTATTGCACGGCAATTTCAGCATCGAGGTGTTTGATCCTACCACCACGGATTGGAAGAGGTGGCTCCAACGTTTCCACGCGGCAGTTAAAATTTTTGAAGTACCTGTCAAACAACAGGTATTATACCTATTACATTTTATTGGAGCGCAAGCATTCGACGTGATTTGTAACAAGCTAGCGCCGGCTGTCCCATATACCGCGACTTTCGATACGCTGATTACAAGTTTAGCGGAATTCTATGCGCCGGAGCCCCTCGAGATTGCTGAGATTTTTCGTCTTCACCAACGGAAGCAAAAGGATGGTGAGAGCGTTAAGGACTTTGCGGCCGCGCTACATAAATTGAGTACACATTGCAATTTCGGCTCCTATACCTGAAAACCGCATTACGCAACCAGTTTGGTTTTGGCTTGGCAAGCAGTCGTGCACAGTCAAGGTTATTGGAGATGAAGGACTTATCGTTCGAGAAAGCAGTTCAAGAAGCTACATCGATGGAATTATTGGAAAAGGATAATCTACAATTACAGAACGGATCGGCAACCGTCGAATACATCGGCACCAAAAACAGGAAGACAGAAAAAAAGTGCAGCGGAAGCGAAATTCCCCATCAAAGTTTACAAGAAGGAAAAGCAAACTAAATAATAATAGTACAACTAATGCAAATGTTCAGGATAATAATGTATCAAGTTTCGGTTGCGGCGGTGGTCATTTGGCCATTAAACGTACGCTTGATAGGAAGCATAAAATGTCATAATTGCGGCACGCCAGGCCACCTACGTAAGATATGCATGGGGGCGAAACGAGCACCTGCGAATCAGATAAAGGAAATATTAGTCGCGGAACATCAGGAATTCAGAGATAAGTTTTTCGAAACCATTACAGTAGAAGATAAACCGCTACGGTTTGAGGTTGACAGTGGCGCTGCGGTAACTATCGTGAGTATGCACACATTACAGAAATATTTTCCATTTAAACGGTTACAACCGACTACATTACAATTAATTACATTTTGCAAAACGCCGATTAATATTGTGGGCGTAGTACCCGTGATGGTTAGCTGGCGAGAAATTAAAACCAAATTAAATTTGTACACCTGCAACATCGAGCGCAAACCTTTGTTAGGCCGTGAGTGGATTCGACAATTGCACATACGTTTAACGGACACCATTAATACAATAAACACATCCAGTAATTACGCGAAAGGCAAAGTTACAGAATTATTACAACAATATAGGAGTAAGTTAGATTCACATTCTACAAAAATTTGAGGCCTACAGGCTATGTTCACTATAAAAGAAACTGCTAAACCGGTATTCCTCAAAGCGCGTACCGTTCCTTTTAAATTGTTACCACTGGTTGACCAGGAATTGCAATCGCTGGTCCAGAAAGGCATTCTTGAGAAAGTAAATACTGCAAGATGGGCTACACCCATTGTACCGGTGTTAAAAAAAAACACAGTGCGCATATGCGGGGATTTTAGCGTTACTATTAATCCTCAATTGTTAATCGATGAGCATCCTTTGCCTACGATCGACGAATTATTCGTAACCATGGCGGGAAGAAAGAAATTCACTAAAATTAATTTGCGGCAAGCATACTTGCAATTAGAAGTCCGGCAAGAAGACCGAGAGTTACTAACTCTCAATACTCATAGGGGTCTTTTTTGAAGTACAAGGTTAATGTACGGAATTGCTTCGGCGCCGGCCATTTGGCAACGCGAAATGGAAAACAGGTTACAAAATATACCGTGGGTATCAGTTTTCTTAGATGATATTAGGATTACGGGGCCTAATGACGAAATTCATCTGCAACGCCTGGAACAAGTATTGCAACGCTTGGGAGAGGCTAACATTAGGATAAATGAAAGCAAGAGCGAATTCTTACAAGAAAGCATACATTACTGCGGTTATCGAATCGATCAATCGGGAATACATAAAACGGTAGAAAAGACTCAAGCCATTGATCTCATGTCCCGACCAAAAAACGTTACAGAATTGCGATCATTTTTAGGAATGGTTAATTATTATAGGCATATTAATTATTATATCATTAATTATATCGTTTATTATATCGTTAATTATTATAATCATTAGAAATCTAAGCGCAATACTCGCGCCACTACACGAATTATTACAAAAGGGGATGTCTTTCAAGTGGACACAGAAATGCGAAAAAGCATTCCAATGCGCGAAAAAAAAATTCAAAAGTGACACCGTACTAGCCCATTTTGATCCAAAACTATTGTTGATCTTAGCGACGGACGCTAGTTCTTATGGGATGGGGGCCGTATTATCGCATCGCTACTCCGATGGCACAGAACGTGTATTACAGTACGCGTCCCAAATCCTCTCTAAGACACAACAACGGTATGCTGAAATAGACAAGGAAGCTTACGCTATAATTTTTGAAAAAAGAAATTCCATCAATACCTTTACGGAAACAAATTTATATTATACACGGATCATAAACCCTTAGTACAGATTTTCGTCCGTCTAAAGCCTTACCTGCATACTCAGCCATGCGTATGCAACATTATGCAATTTTTCTGCAGGGCTTTTCATTCGAAATCAAATACAAAAATACTAAACCGCACGGTAATGCGGATTGTTTGTCTCGACTGCCGGTCACTACTACCACAACCGCGGAACATGACGAAGTAGACATTTACAAAATAGAAATTTTACACGAAATATCCGTGTCCGCGGATAAAATAGCATGCGCTACAGCAGGGGATGTGCAATTGAAAAATCTTCTCACTGCCATATGCGAAAAGAAAGAAGTACCGATACAAATGCGGTTCAATATAAACGAAGCAGCTTACAGCGTACAACAAGGAGTATTTCTGTATAACAAAAAAAATAGTAATCCCTAGTAAACTGCGCGAACGAATTCTGCAGGAACTACATAAAAACCATTTCGGCGTAGTTAAAATGAAGGCGTTAGCAAGAAGCATGTATTGGTGGCCTGGCATAGACAAGACGATAGAAAAGCTAGCAAGAAACTATGATATATGCAATGTTACGCGGAATGATCCACCCAAAGCCGAAATACATGAGTGGGAACCCGCGGAGGTACCCTTCGAGCGCGTCCATGTAGATTATGCAGGACCGTACATGAACGCATATTTCTTTGTATTTGTAGACGTGTTTTCGAAATGGCCAATTGTACAAATAGTTAAGGACATAACCGCGGAAACCACGATAAGAATATGTAAGGAGATTTTCACGGATTACTGGACCCCAAAAATTATAGTTATGGATAATGGTCGTAATTTTCGTTCCACGAAGTTTACACAATTCTTGGGATCCCAGGGGGTCACTTCAAAATTCACTGCCCCATATCATCCGTCGACAAACAGACAAGTGGAAAGATTTGTGCAAACTTTGAAAAACTCGTTACAAAAAATACTTACGGATCCTAATAATAAAGGAATAACGTTAGAAGATGCGACGCGTAATTTTCTAATGTAGCTACGGATTTGCCGCAAGGGATAGAAAGTACACGGGATAATAAAATACTATATATACAGGGTGCGGCATTTATAGTGACGCGGGCATATTTT